TCAGCCAGGAATTTCCATAACAATGGACGATCAGATATTATCGTATTTAATCAATGGGCATCGTCAGATTTTCTTTCTTGGGTACAATTAACCATTATTTGCCTAGCTACGCTCACAACTACAACGATTTTCCCTCATCTTTGTAAATAATGATAAATACATCTGAGGCGCGTTCGATTGTTACCTTTATTAGGAAATTGGAAGTAACCGAGCTTGCATGATGAGGTGCACGTGGCGGTCTACACCAATAATCGTAAAGACATTTCCCGAAATGTCAAAATTAATATCCTCTATCGGGGTTGAGGATGAACAATCGAATGCGCCTAAATGGCATGCATATCCAGGAAATAATTATCCATGTACGAACGCGTCTTATTTCCAAGAACACAAAAATGGTATTCAAAACAATGTGCACACTATGTTAAATTTTCTGTTGAAGCGTTTACTTATCACATGCAGAATATTTCTGATATGGCTGATTTAGATGAAGTTACACATAACTAAATAATTTTAACCATCAAATTACACCGTGTAAATACTCATTCATTATGAAACGGCCTTAGTTCCACAAAAAACGTCTTCCATTCCCTTCTCACGAAAACCATAATCTTACTAAAAATGGCATATAAGATATACCAACCATGTTCCAAATTTCTTCTTACGTTGATCAAACACACTCTCACAAAAATGCGCACACACGTGCATATCCTCGCGTCAATATTTGTTTACCGGTTAGTGTTCTTTGTACACAATCTCCTTCCGTGGATTAGTGTCATATCTGACGCGCCTCATCGATTTTGTGCTTCTAAAAAAAAATCTGTAAAATTCATTTGTTTACAGAAATGCTTTGGTGACAAACTAAATATTTCCACACTGTTCTGATCCATACAATTACACTGCTCATAAAATACACACAATACTTTTATTTTCTTTTTCATGATGATCAACTTGTCCGGTCCTTTTTTTTTTCCCCACTCGTCCTTTTGTAATGACGACGATGCGTATGTTCCATTCATTAATTCATTAATTCATCGACTCTATATTACATACAGACGCCGCCATTTTTGTTTATTTTTATCTATAGATAAGTTTTGACAGTACCTACTTTATCAATATACCTGAAACAATATGATTTTCCATATGTACTGTAATATTATACATATAATTATCGTTATATAATTTATTTATTGACCGAGCTGCTATTTACCATTCTCTATGTTAGATTACTCATACTGTTGTCCACGCCTAGCACAGGTGCTCCACATCAAGTAATGGTGGCCATTATTTAATAGTCATTTGGGGCTACATGACATTTTCCAGCATCCGGACCGAGTTATACCTTGTATAATTATCCTAATATTTTTCCACTCAATTTATCCTATACAGTCATAGGACTCGGCCAACATCAATGGGATGAAATGTCCCTGTCGTTTTACAACAAAGGTAGTTTTCGTTCCGTGGCCAGGCTCATTCCTACCCTGTAAATGCCACGGTTTTCGTAAGAGTGGCGAATAAGGTCATCCGCTTTAAAACGAACATAACATCATTTATTGGTATATTTTAAATCGTGAAATAGTCTATTAGCTCATCACTAGAGACTTATTCATAGGCCTCTTTGACATGTTCAACCAGGTTTGTAAAAATAATTGAAAATATACGTCAGTTCAAATATATGTGATATGCCCATCAATTTACTATAAGTTCACGTCAAGTAACAGCTACTCAGAATTGCATAAATTCTTATCTTTATACATTTCTAAGTCTCTTATTTCAGATATACGAATAAGAGAAAACACTTTTATTTCATAAATATAGCTCATTCTCATTATTGCATTTCGTTTGAAGTGTACTATTTCGATTGTAAGAGAGAAACTATAATCCGGGTAGGATATTTCCCGCCAAATTTACTTCAGACAGTTACATAATAGGCAGACTGTATGGTTTCCACGCAAGACAGAATACAGAGGTAATAAACATCTTTGATATATGTAGTCAAGAATTTCTTATGTACTTCAGGATCTGAATCTTTTTGATCTTGCGGGTTGGTAGTGATTTAAATATACCTAATGTACAGTATTCCAGGTAAAACAACCAGATACCTGTAGATATAGTCATTGTATCTGTAACGCAAATCACAAGAGTATGTGTTCTAAGCCGTTATATGACCCTTTACCTGTAAAGAACCGTAACGGATGCAGGGGCTAATTAACATCCCGATCAACGACTAACACCCCGGATGCGTCTACCGTGCGCCTGGCACGCGACTAACGCCCAGGTAGTTGTCAAAGGTGTGATGATTAGGTAAGATGAACTCCCATTGGCTAACGTTCGCAATAATCACCCGTCAATCAAAATCTCAGCTTACCTGAGAAACAGTTAGCCTGGAAAATCAATGATTTGAGATCATTGGCAAACAAGCGATCACTCGTACAGACACGAACAGGTAAGCCCAGCATCCGTATCATTTATCTGTAATCGACATTGATTTCCTTCCGTGAATTATTCATCACCGAAGGTGTGGGTTATGATCATATCAAATAAGGATTACAGGTAATTTCCTGTACAATAACCAGGGTAAATTGAACAATTATTGGCAATGATATTATCTTTATTGTGGTCTTGTTTGCTCAGTTGTTTAGAGTTGTATTCAAAAGAAAACAGAACGTGCCGATGATAGATGGATAATAGATTTATTAACAGGATAATGGACTCTAAATTCCCAGGTACTTACTGAGCTGCACTTGCATGCACGAGCGTTTCACTTATACTAAAATTTCAATTTTAATCACCATATATGTAAAAGGCTTAAAATTCATAGATGAATTTTTTGTGTTCCCGATTAATTGAATTTGAACGAAAAAAGGAAACCTAAAGATTTGTTCCTTACTTGAAACAAAGGTAAAACTGATTTTATAGGCTTTCTGTTGTTGGTAAATTTCTTACGGAACTAAATAAAACTTGTTATGTGGGACAGATGGAATTTGGAGAACCCGAATGTGTGAATATTTCAGAAATGATATTCAGGATTTGCATGCAAAAAAATCATTCAGAAAGGACAAATACCAGGTACTCTCGTTGTAATTTATACTGTTACATACATGTGAAGTAATTACGTGAACACAACAAAAACTCACCAAGTGAATCAGTAATAGCTTAACTTATTAATGTATATCTTTAACAGTTTTACTATCAAAAAAGTGTTTTACAAATATCTAAACATGGAACTTTAAATCTTAATATACAGAAATCAACGAGTATATTTATTTTTAAATCGCGGTGTTTGATTTCATATACGTACCGATGTTGTAAATAAACTGCTGGCATCAATTTTAATTTGAAGTAGACAATGAATGCAGATAATATTCTGACATTTGTTTATTGAAAAAGGTATCTGTAGATAATTTTTGGCAAACTTTTAAGATATAAGAAAATTATGCAGACAAAAAAAACTTTGAAGATAATCAGTTGCATTTAAACCCCCCCACCCCACCCCACCCCCCACTTTTTTTTTAAGGAAATTCTTGTGTCATTTTATCACTCAATGGTATACATCTCCATGACTAAAAATAAAAATATGTGTACCAATATAGAGGTACCTACTATCACCAAAGGCGCTCTGTGCATAAAGTGTAAATGTTGACAAAATATTATCCCTTTATAAAATCCAGGCCCCCACCGCACCAACTCTAGTTAGATACAGAAGCTGGCAAACGTCTCCGATTTCACGCGATGTCTGTACGACCCAAAGTCAACCTCCCATTGTTTATGCCTCGAGTAAATTTATGTCTTTTCGCGCTTCCCTTTAATTTCACACTTAATTTTCCACCTTCTACTTAAGATAACAACGACATTCAAAATTAATTCAACAGTTACATAAATAAATAATAGTACTGTCCTTTACATTTTACCGGAAACATGTAAGAATTATTTTCTGTAGCGAGCTGTATGTAGGTGGGTGGCTGAGTTTATGTGTAGTTTCTTTGTCCCACATTAAAACTCCGATGGCAGATAACTAGCTATAGGTGCCCAGCTAAATAACGTATAGTTGTTGTATACATCACTCACCGTAGCAGCGCGTGGGGATCAGATTTCACGCGCCCCTCTATCCCAGCTTCTGAAACCGCCAAATCTTCGTCCGCGTGACTCAAGACAAAGTGTATACATACACACCCATCCACGAAACAAATACAACGAATGAGGTCTCGTTCAGGTTACGTGTTCACCTTTATGAGTAAAATTTCCCATCAACTTATTTAATCTATTGTTGACCATTATTTTTTCTGCTAATATTCCACATCTTTTGAACCAGCTTCATCTTACAACCTCGGGAACCTACCTAGATAAGATAGACATTAGCTGGTGGAAATGACCTACCTTTGTCTGTCTGTTTACCTTACCTTGTTCTAAAAATATCTATCCAGATTCTGCTAGGTTTTGGCACTTGCAGAAATGTGCTTAAACATATACATAAGAGATCATTTCCCGAAAATTCAGGATTTTTTTTCATGGTTGAAACCAACATATATAAAATTTTCTAATGTCACATTACATTTTGAATTTGACGAGAACACCTTTAATTAAAGGTATTATATTGTGTTTCACTGCAGAAATATAATTTATTGTTTATCATTTCTATGTAAGATTAGTGATGTTTATTTTTTAAATTACATTAAAGCTACAATAGTAAAAGCACCTGAGTCAAAATAACTGTTCATCTGTCACAGCACACCGTGTGCTGGTGCAGGACCGCTTCCACACGTGTACTCATTTAGTCTGGGTCAAACCGCGAGGAAGCATTAACAAAGCGCTTTTTATAGACTATCTGAATTTGTATTTAATAAGGTTAAGTCAAGAGAGATATTCAATAAGAAGAAGGAAATTTAAATGATTAAAAGTGACAAATGTTTTTGACCGGAAGCTGACATTTGCTATAACGGTACATGCGCAATAATATTTACCAGGTTGGATGTGAAGTCACTTCTCAATATTGAAATGAAAACATGGCAGAAGCGGCCAGGTGCGGAAGAAGAAAACAGAGAAATCCCAAAAGAAAAAATGGTAAGTGAACCTATTGATTTATAACATCGTCATATTCACACACATTTTGACCCATAAATTCGTTTTCTGTGGCAATTTACAGCCAAAAAATGCCCCGGTATGTGATTGTTTCTTAGGTGACTTTACCTTTCCCCGATACCTGATTTGGCTAAGTGATGAAGTGATGGAGCTACATGGTTTAGATGATGCTGGATTATTAAAACTGTGGTTGTATTTGTAGTTTTTGGACATATTTATGACATGTTATGTGTTTATTTCATGCATTCCGATAATTTTCTGGTAAAGGTGAGATTATTTGATATGTGACCTCGACGCGGCGTGCTTCGGAGCAACTCGGTGAAGTTCTCGCTCCATCCGCAGCCGCATATAGTTAAACCAGTATGGCGGTCGCTCACAGATGCGCAGTTAGCAAGTCATTTTAGATAAGGACAGGACTCCTTTCGCATTTATTATTAATATTTCCAGGTGTAAACAAAACTAAATTCATAAACCCTAGTTATCTGTACCATATGATATTGTGATTCTATATAAAATGGGTGAAATTTGGATATGAAGTTGGGATTAAATTGATACAATAACCAGGCTAACCTGTCAGTCACAGTCGTGAAGCCATTCGACTCTAGCCGGAGACCTAAAGGTGGGGCACATAGACTTGCATACATTTCTTTAATTTTGCTTTTCATATGTAGTTATTTTTGTAATTCATATTTTAATCATTTTAATGTTGACTAATATGAAAACATTTGATTTTGAGACAAAATCACAGAGGTAAAATTATTTATCCTTTAGATTGTACAACCCTTGTAGGTGTCTACCACCTATTCCGAATGTTATGGACACAAACACAAACATCTGATTGAAACCATATGGGGAACTAGTATATCATATTTCAAAGTTTCAAAATGAATTTATCTTGGTAAAGATTAACACCTAGGTGAACCAGGCCAGAGACCTAACATATTCCCTGCTGTTACCTTAGCACAGAGGTCAACTTCCCATAAATTATGGGGATCCAATTATCATAATTTTTGGGACATACTGATACAAAGATATTGGGTTCCTGGAGGGATTACTGATCAAAAATAAACTTTCTCTTTTAAAGTCTTCAATTTTTTAGATAAATTAGACTTTGCTGTGAAGAAGAAAAAAACAACTACATTCAGCATCCATTAAATGAATGACAACGATGGATTCATTGTTCATTGTTGGTGATGATGAGGTTCATTGTCTTTCTTTGTTATCAGCTAAACCAACTTAACTTTTTCTTTTGGTGTTATTCATATTAAATCTGAGAATTAAACATTACAAGATATTAATATCTGTATTTTTTTTATTGTAATATATATATATAATTCTTTTTTCTAAAATGTGTGGAAATATGAATCTCTTCCAAAATATATTTTGAATTTTTAAATCTTCCCAAAATGATTATTTTTGCTGATTTTTTTCCAGATGAAATTTCAGACAAAGTAACTTGCTTTTTTTACCCTTTAGAGCAAAAGCAAAATAAGGCAGCAAAATTGACATTTTTGTTGTAAATTAATCCTTCTAGAACATATTTTTTTATTATTAATTTTTTTAAGTGTTTATTTGATTATATATACATATGTAAGGCATGTTTTTGATAAAATAGTCGGTCCCTTGTAGAAAATTTTAAGAAATGTTAATGCTCAATAGAATTTAACACTTAGAACCAATGCTTAGCAAAATTTATTTAGAGGTAGGAATAAAAAGAAAGCATGACAATACAATTCAAGAACAATCCATGTTTAATGACACTGAGACTAAGTGAATCAAACATTCTGAAATATCTGGCATATGAAACACACAGTAGTCCACTGGAACATGGATGAAATTATAAGGTAGACAGGTTTATTGGGGGAAGCATTGGCCCTAAGGGATAGTAGCATTTGCCTACAACATTTCCAGTAATTGAAAATCAATCTTTTGTTGCTGGTAACTTGAAAGGAAGAGATCATCTTCACTGTACCTTGAGGTGGCCAGGTGAACTTTTACCCCATCAAATTACATTAATCAATTTCATCTAAGTATAGAGCATCTATTTCTAGCCTTCTAGTATAATAACTAGTTAGTCAATCATAACTTGATTAGCTCTTCCCAACTAAGAAAATGGTTGGCTACTGTGGTCAGTAACAACCCTTAACTGTAATTATTTCAAACTATGCACCAGATGAGTAATAAATATGAAATTGAATTTGTCCAGGTGTGTTATTATTTAATTACAACAATGATTAATATTCCATCTGTCATTTTGGAGGCAGCGATGGCATAGCAGAGTTCTGACTTGGGTACTATTAGAGTGTTGTTTTCTAATGATATAAATTTGGCTTTGAATTTACAATGTATTAGGTAATTTCCACACTGTGCTGTATAATTTTTTTAGATATTCATTTAAGATGTTGTAAAAAGATCAATCTGGATAATTAGAATGGTATCCTATATAATGTAGACTAGAGCAGTTTTCACCAGTAGATGATACTGGGATATTGTATAATTGCTAAAGACTACCTTTATCTAATGCAAATAATCTATTCTTTCTGGCTTATCATTTCCCTAATTATTGATTTTTTTTTATACTATACAGAATTAATCTAATGTGTGTTTATTCTTTCCTTTTTCTGGACCAGTAACCTTTGGCCACACAAAGGATTTTGAACTCTTTTGATTTGAAAAATAAAGATAAATGCAAACGAATTGTTATGGAACTACATGTTTCATTAACACACCTGCTATGGCTATTTAATCAAACCTCTTATTTGGCATAGACATAGTATATATGAATCTAAATTGTTTTAAAAATTGATTAAATTCAATTAGCAGCCAAGTGAAAACATTTCTTTTGCTTACAGACAGAAAAGCTGCAGGCCATTCAGACGGAATGTATTTCCATTTGTCTTTCAAAGAAAAGAAAGTATTAGTTGATATAATTATTTTATTGCTTAAACTGTTTCTATGTTGATAGAATTGTTGATCTAGTGTGGTGGGAAGTGTACTTGTGGCCCCTTATCTCACCCCACCTGTCCTAACCCCTGCTTTCTGCCCTTCACTGGTGGCGACCGTCATGATCAGCGTGGCAATTAGTGACTTTTTCAAGAGATAATAGGTGCCATTCTTCAATGAATCAATTCATATTGGATTTTTTCTTCATTCTATACACGATAATTTCACACCTGTATTTTTGTCTTGGTCTAGCTTTGTATGTTAATTTCAGCACTTCCAAATCATAATTTTCTGCTTAATCAGGCTTGTAGTATTATGCTTCAGAAATGAACAAGCTCTTTAGATGTCCATTAATTTTCAGATTTTTTCAATTATACTGGTGGTAAAGTTAGCGAGAGTTACCTGCACACTGTTCCAAACCCTGCAACTGTCAAGTCCTATAACCTCTGTAATTCTTAAAGACAAAATTATCAAAAGCGTCTCTACTTGAACATGACAATGGCAATGCAAAGGGACTTAAAAATGCCTGGGGGAGGTGTGATTTATTTTAGAACCTTCAATGTTTCTTCCATAGACAAAGGCTCTGATTGTTTGCTTTCTTCCCTTATACTTCTGGAGGCACTTTTTTTCTAAGAGAATATCTTAGGCGGGCCCTTTGTTTTGGTGTCCACGCCCATCCAAGGTAGTGATATGCTTCTTAGCATCTTCCAATATACAGTTGCAAAGGTCCTATTACGGCTTGAATCAACAGTATAATTTTCTTTTTTACAAGCACGAGGCAGAATAATGGTGTGCATAAAGGCGTAAAAACTTCGGCACGTGCCGTACACACGACTCCAAAAGGAGGCCAGGTAAACGACTTGTTAGGTTTACACCTGAGCAGGCCCATAAACGTGGATTTACCCGCATGGACAACTTAAAAGTCTTTTCATGTGTCACTCAAAACCCCATGATTTTGTTTCATATGAAAATAACCTAGAATTTAGCCAGCAAATCGCCCTGATATTGTTGACAATGAACCTCTTCCTCCTACAAAAAGACTAACATCATCAGTATCAACTTACCTGTATTTTATTTGAGAACAAATCACTGTAAAAAAGATGTCAGAAAAATAAATGTTCAATTGTGAACATGTTGTCAGCTGGTTGGATCTGAAGATCATGACCCGACCATGAATGCGTATCAGTTTACGGCGTTTTTTATGCACAAACATTAGAAAAAAAGTTTGAGACGTGAATAATGTAGTTTGTTTGTTGTCACCTGGTGTGATCCCAAGAGCATGACCTTAACTCAACTTACGGAAAGAAGGAAGGTGTGAAGACTCAGAGTAACAATTAAGTGTCAACTAAATGTGCATAGAAATTAGCTCTTTTCTAGCTCCTGTATTTAGAGGTAGCTTTCTGCACAGCCTAGTTTCAGAGATTTGTTTCTGAAGTTTTAATAGTAAGTGAAAATCTTATAATTCAAGATTTCTATGTTTGTGTGATATTGATTCATCTGTATAATAATTCTGTACACAGCTTTGATAATTCACAAGATTCTTTTAAAGCCAGAAATATACTGCTCCAATGCTTCTATTGTTAGAATTATCATATATTTTATTATAACAAAATATCTAATGTGACAATTTGGAAAAGTACAGGTAAGTTTGATAACAATGTCCCTGATTCCTTCCACTGATGCTCAACTGAAACAAAAATTTTTTGCAAAGTTTTTGAAAAATCCAGTCAGTAGAGTATTTCTTCAGGTATTCATGAAAGTACAAGGTTGATTTTAGACAGGGTACATTCTTGAACTGGTACTGATCCACTGCTATTCAGAAAATGCATTTTAGTGATACAGGTGTCCGCATATAAACATACCAATTCCTGATTGGTTGCATTGCAAAGCAATAGCAAATTGTAAACTGTTCTCCTGCCATGATAATTGACCTACCTGTCATTTTCACCTGAGCAGAACACATGAAAACAGACAACAAATAAAGTTCTATGCTATTGGCAGGTTACTTAATCTCCTTTTGGCCAATAGCAACGATTGCT